TTTTTTTTTTTTTTTTTTGTTTCTAATATAAGAGAAAAAACAATATAGTTGACCACAAATTTAAATACAAATGGTCAAAAAACCCTTCGGGGCGCGCAAGGAATGCTCGAAGTTATTAATTAATTATCTTATTTAACAATATTCTAATTTTGGTTTATGAAAGTCAACTAATACTTTAAAAAATGTAAATGCTTGAAAAGGCAAAGCCAAATGTTAAACCCCTTAGACTTTTCCCATATTCTCACATAAGCTCTCAAAGTAAAAAAGTGACGTACAAACCCTTAAATGCTTGGATTTGAGCAAATTAATCCTTGTGTTAGCAGTAAAATCGCTAGTAGTCACATAACTTAAGCAATTGTTTGATTTTTTTCACTTGCATGACAATGACTTTATACTTAAATATTAATATAATAATTTTTTTGCACTTAAATACTTACAGTATATGTCTCATTAAAATTCTCAAAATTAAAAATTAAACAATTAAGTTACAAATCACACTAACTTCAAAATATAAAAAAATTGTCACACAAGCCGAAAAAAACAAAAAAGATTGTTTAACTCATATGGCCGCACATAATTCTACTATTAACACAAAAGTTAATTTGCCAAAATCAAAGTGTTTAGGGGTTTATATGCCATTTTTTCCCTTTGAGGACTGATATGAGAAAACGGAAAAGGCCTAGGAGCTTAACACTAGTTTTTGCCCCAAAACAACCATGGGGAAGAACTGGAATTTTTGCTCCTGCTATAATTGTAGGATTTATCACAAGAGGTTCTATTTTACGGTGCATTTTGTAATGAACTGTAAAACCAGAACCATAAAAAAAGTGAAGGAGGTGGGCTCAATGGATCCACCTCCTTTGATGCTTCTGATCTTGTAGTTCGCTATAAGACAAACTACAAGATTGTAACACCTTATTATAATACTCATTAATCATCCATGATACTTAGTTGAATAAATGGCGTGTTTGGATCATGCATTTCGTTTTCAGCGGGGATCATACACAAACTTAATTAAAGAATTAGATTTTCGGGATATGTTTATCTAATTAAATTTATATATATATATACATATATATATATATCTTTTCTTTGGTCCGGTATTAATCTGGGTTAATTAATTTAATTTAACCAAACCAAGCTACTTTGAGCTTGGCATGAAGATGACATTATCAATTACTTCAGATGTTTTGGCTTCAAATGGAAAATGGAGGAAAAGAAATAAAAATGCATATTGAAAAATCTGCATTTCTCATGCTTATGATTAATTAATTATGCTAAAGATAAAGAATGTTGATGACAACTAATGCTAATTTAATTTAAATACTCTGTTTAATGGTGTTTAACAAATAACAATTCGAATTTGATTTAACATATTTTCCCTCTAATTTTTTTTTGTTAACTCGGGTTGAGAAAAGTGACGCCAAAGCCAATCGCCCCTGTATGCAAAAGCGTGGAAAAACTTGGTTCATTATCTACCGTATGTTGCTACCTAACTTTGAAAACAATTTCTTTATAATATATCTGTTTGCATAAGAAGTTAAGTGAAATGAAATTTTTTAAATTAATTATACATGTTTCTCACTCTCAAAGTCAAGATAATCTAATTTAAGCTTATAAAGTACAATTCGACATAATAATTTTTACATACAATAATAATTTACTTACAACTTATAAGTATCGTGTCAATGCTAACTAATTTAATTTTTTTGATTCAGTTAAAAACAATGTCATTTTAAAATTAAATTAAAGAGTCATGAGATCTATTCTATATCTTTTCTAATGATCTTTTCCATAATGAATTGATAAATTTGTTCAATAATAACGAATACACTTCCTTAAACTAATTAGCCTTAGTTACTGAAACTCTATGTATATTCAAATCATCTAAAACTAAAACCTTCTAAAATCAGAAATGTACATACTCTCTTGTAAACTATTAATTGTTGCAGTGTTACTTTCAAAACAAATCAAGAAATCAAAAAATGATTCTACCAGACGCCGATCGCAGACTGGAAATATTTTATTTCTTCTAATTAAATATTTAATTGAAGTTAGTCATGTTTAACTAAGCTAGGTTTCAAATTGCATGTACCTTGCTTGCTTGAATTCCGCAATGACCAAGTCAAAGTCAGTAAATCGAATTGAACAAATAGTTTACTTCAAATCCATTAGACTTTCAAAACTTAAAAGATTCATGCAGACATGTATTTTCCCTCTTCCAAGGAATCAAAATAAGTTTAATAATTAAGATTATTACAGAGAGTGGTTAATTTGATCAGAAAGGATCAAATTAACAACACAAGTTTAAAGAAAGGGTAGACTGTGTCTCTGTCTAAAAATCAGATCAATTAAGATAATGAATCCATGCAAATCTTATCTAACTATCACATATAGATGACATAGAAGATGACAAAATGATCAGCTCAGATGTTTTTTGACAGTAACCCAAGCCAATAGATTATGGTGGCTTTGTTGTAAACTTGTAATACTGTAACATGCTGTTATGTTATTCATTATGATCATCTCATGATTAACTAATCAAGTCAGGGGAAAACTGTCGATGCTAATGTTAATGTATACTTTTTCTTTTGAATAATACGGTACAGAATACATATAATTTTAACAGGATAATTAAATACAAAAACAAATAACAAATCAGAAAATACTGGCATCTTTTAAGAGATATTTGATTGGTGGTCATCACTATTTCTTTGTCAAACTATAAAAATAAGTTAAAATTGAAAAAATTCCATACAAAACTAATAAATGCTAAAGCCTTAATATCTTATTTTCTTTTTACATCAGTAAATAATTAATGAATACTTATTCATCATTCATCTCTAGTTTAGTAGAAAATTCTTAGCATTAAAGCTTACATATTCCTAATTTTTTACAGAAGTTTCTCAAATTTAGGAGGAATCAATGGCCATTACAGCAACCAATCATGACCTTATAACTCTCTGTAAAATTTATCAAAATTTAAAATTACCATGGACAATTGTACAAGACTGCAATTAAGTAGCTAGCAGTAGGTATTGTTCTTTGTCTGAAGATTCAAATGCAAGCAATTTGCTTGCTTCAATTAATGAGTAGTGTATGAATATGGCAAAGAAAACAAAAAGAATAGTAATCAAAGAAAAATTATTTGTATAGGTTAATTTTTATTTTTATTTTTTATACATTTACACAATCACCAAAGCAGTCACTTCTCCCAAATCCCAATATATTTTTGTTGTTAACTTTTAAGTATCTAGAAGTTACATTCATTTCAACTAATTTAGAAGTCAATTTAAATTGCATCAAATAAGATTAAGGGTAAGCTTTCATAATTCTTATTTTTTTATTTTTTTATTTTTAAAATTTAAATTCAAGATTTTATTTAATGAAAAAATGTATTTCCATTCAACCCAACAGTTCGTTGGTCTCCCAAATCCCAGTATGATAATTCGAATTAGATCTTAGACTGAAACAGAGAATGAAAGTAAAGGTGGAAGCGGATTAACTCCAATTGACACAGGAAATTAGCTTGCTTACAAGAAGCAAGCAAACAATGGTATTTTACTTCAAATCGGACTTACAGAGTTACAGTATAATGTTCCAAGAGTATAATGGGATAAACCCTACCAACGAGGGATTGAATTAAGTGGTAAGCGGTTTGTTATAGTTTAAGTAAAGTCTCGAACTCCAGCTCGAGACTTTATGTACGTAGTAGTTCCCGCTGAAAAACTCACTCATCATTTTCAAGTGCGCAACGCGGCTCGGATCCAAGACGAAACCCGGATACCGGGCGGAAAACCAAAAAAACCGAAAAAAAAAAAAAAAAAAGGGATAAACCCTGTTCAGGGGGAGACAGTGTGTCTCCCAAAAAATCAAAGTGGAGTTTGAAAAACTCGACTGAAAAAGTATATTCAGGGAAAGAAAAATCAGTTTAATTCAACTTCCCTTTCTTCCTTTCCTCCACGAAATCATGTATTCTTCTCAATGCAACCTCTAATGTCTGCTCGCTCATGTTAGCAAAACACACCCTGAACCACCCTGGTTCGGAGCAATGGCAGGACGATCCCGGAGAAATATTCAGCCTCACCTCGTTGAGGATAATGTCCCAGAGAGCCAGTTCCCCTTCTTTGGTATTTTCCTCAAGTAACGGACTCAGATTCATCCAGCAAAACAGCCCGGCATTGCCTTTGAGACACTCGATTCTGGCGCTCCTCAGCCCGTTGATGATCATTTCGTATCTTTTCTGGAGCCTTTCTCTGTTTGTCGTTATGTAGTTTTGAGTGAATTCCTTGTTGGAAAGCATGCAGGCTAAGAGATGCTGCGTCTGGGAAGAAATCAGGGTGAAGCTCGACATTCTCCGGGCGGTGGTTACGACTCTGTCGTTGTAAGAGTAGATTGTTCCGACTCTGAATCCGGGAAGGCCGAGATCTTTAGAAAGACTGTAAACAATATGAACTCTTTCCGCTTCTCTGTACTTCCGAGCTTCCAGGATTTCGGCAATGCTGATGAATTCCGTCGAGGAGAAGGTTGATCCGGAGTAGATTTCATCGGAGACAAGATGAATGTTTTTCCGGATTGCAAAATCGAGAATTTGTTCCATGACGGATCGTTGGATCGTTGCGCCTAATGGGTTAGACGGGTTTGTTATCAGAATTCCTTTTACTTTGGTGTTCATGGATTCTGCTTTCTTGTATGCAGCCTCCATAGCTTCCGGTGTGACTTGGAAATTGCTCTTGCTGTCACAATGAATTGGGATGATATTCACCCCTGTTCTCCAGCTCAGATCTCTGTCGAATCTGGAAATAGAGATTAATCCAATAAATTTCAAGTCCAAATGCTACATTTCTTCCAAGAAATCAATTGTTTTTCTTAGTTTTTGGTTCTTACCCTGGATAGTAGGGAGTAGGAATCAACAAAGCATCACCGGGATCAGCTAAAATAAATGTCAAGAGCTCGTTGGCGGCCGTTGCACCGGCGGTGATGACAATTTTGTCAGGATCAAATTTAGCTCTTCCTCCCCTGATTTCCTCCATGAACCCTGCCATGGCCTGTCTGAAGGATTTCAGTCCATGGTAATCTTGGAACAGAGCATTCTCTCGAAATCCTGGTGCCCCTTTTCCCCAGCTTGATTCTTCTGAGTGCTCTTCTACATACTTCTCCACCATGTCAAATGAAACCTGAAAAATCAACAACAAACAACATTAAGTTAAACAGTAACGAGCAGTTCAGACAACCACATTCCAACAACTTGGGTGGTCGGAACATTTATTTTTCTTTTTAAGTTACAATACTTTTTTACTGATGATGGATTATGTCATGTGTCTGCTAATTACTTGATTTTCAGCTAATCCCATCTGAATTACTCCTGAGGGATTGTTCAATTCATCATAAGGATTCTCGTTATAGGCCTTCCATCCGGCGAAGAAAGGAGAGTCTTCACCGTGAGTGTTGGAGATTGCAACAGTGGACAGTGGTGCAGAATTAGGCTGCTCAATATCTAGAACAGCCATCACTAACTCCTTAATTTGAAGCCCTTTCTTATTTTCTGTGTGTGAATGAGAGAGGAGAGAGGCAGGTGAGAAAGAAAGAAAGAAAGAAAAAGGGGCTTCAAATTTTGCAAGTGTTGTATCAAACCATTGTCAATCCAGGACCTTATATAGTAATTAAGCAGAGCTTTGGACTTGAATAAAATAATGGGGCCTGCAGAATATAGCCAGTTATTTCAGAAAAATTAAAATAAAGATCAATGATTGAATCAGTGTTTAGCACTATAACCAAAACAATAATTTTTTTTATTTTCTTTTAATTTTACTGATAGCATTTATCTCTATTGACAACTGTAGCTGTTGTTAAGCTTTAAACAAAGAAATCCCATGACATTCATACCAAAATATGGTAGTTGATGGTGAGGTGTGTGTGCTTTTTTATTAAAAAAGGGTTTTATATATGTACTGTGTGATGCGGTATGACAAGTATGGGTTTAAAGTTTTGGACAGTGCGCGATAAAATGCTTGTGCTTATTAAGCTTCTTTTGTTTTGTACACCAAGCATTTGTTAAAATGACTGTATGGGATTATGTTATTTTGTTTGTATTGGATATACGCATTATGTTTGTGGTTTGTCATGGGGGCTTGTGGAAGATACGCAAAAGCTATCCCATAGCACGAAGTAGGATGATTTTGGTAAAGGCTACTTTTTCGAAAAAGTTTTTATTAAAAGGTTATTAAAAAATTATTGTATAAAAAAATATTTTATAAAAAATTATTAAATTTTATAATAAAATTTTATTGAAATTTTATTATGTTATTAATTTTGCTATATTTGATATGAAATTAATCTAAAAAAAAAAGTTAGTAAAAAAAGTTATTAAGTTTGTTTAATATAAAAAAATTGTAGAAAAACTTTTTCTTTTTCTTTTTTACATATGGGGTGAAAAAAAACTCTAAAAATGGAGTATTATATAAAGAAAAAAAAAAGGATTTCTTGGGAAAGTAAACCAAACACTCCCTATAGTTTTAACTTTTATTTTCTATTGATTAATAAGTTGGCCTGCAGTTAAGTAGAAATAAATAAACCCATTTTCTTGAGAGGTATTTGTGTGGTTGAGTTTCCGGTCTGTACATGCAAGATCTATTTCCTCACTACGACTAATAAAACATATTCATGCTTTAATTAAAATCCTCTGTAAACTCTAAATCAGGCATGAAAAATGCTTGTTTTCTTATAACCAAAACAAAAAACAAAAAAAGAGAGAGGAGAATATTTCAAAGATTTCTGAGTAGTTAAGCTCTTGAAAGATACCAATTTATCCAAGATTAAGATTCTGATATGCTAACAAAGTTCAGACAAAGTACTGCTCCGAGAAGATTTTATGGCCCCACTCTTGTAATAATATTGCTTCCAAATTTCCAAAGCCAACACAGCTTAATAGCTTCCTAATCCATGCTTAAGAGCTCTATTAATCCATTCTTAAGCTTAAGGGTTTATAGTCTAATTAGTGCAGGTCCATGTTTAAGCACAAGGGTTTGTAGTCTAATTAGTGTCAAGTCCATCTTTAAGAGCTCTAATTCATTCTTAAGCATAAGGGTTTGTACTCTAATTAGTGTCAATTTGACCTAGTTGATAATTATTGAGAAATATTGTATGAGCAAAGTAGGAAAACGATTTTATTTCGTTGAATTCAGAAGTTTAATGCAGAAACTCTTGTGATTGCCATTTGGATGTTTCAATAGCTAAAAGTTTAGAAATGATATATGTATAATGTTATGTAAAATTATAAGTTTATAATGATAAAATATTATTATAAAAACTTTTTTTGTTCTTTGATTGTTTTGTATATACTCATCCAATAGCATGTATCATATTGTATAATTCATTTAATAACATCTATCATTATCGTAAACTTCCAATTCCATATGCATATCATTGCAATTAAAAGTTTGGGAGTCTTGAATCTAAATTGGTAGAGTGACGTTTGGAGAAAGAGAAGGTTGTTCCTATTTGTTGTATAGCACATCCTGTACCAAAAAAAACAAATGCATTGTTTCATTTTTTATGTACCCATCCCAGATTTTTGTCAAGATTCTGTTCTTCTTTTTAGATTTCAATCCTCAACTAACAAACTTAGAGAAAAATAAACAAAATCCAACTGCACTCACCAAGAACAATAAGAATCATCAAAAAGAAGGGAATATGTTTCAATTTATGATCATCGACGTGGGGGTTGAGATCATGAGTATCCAAGTTCAAGGAGGAATTCGTCATCCATCTCAACAGCATAAGATTTTCCAGTTGTTAACAGATTGCAAAAAAATTGACAGGAAAAATTAAATGTAAAAAATAATGCAAAACAAGTACTTGCATATGATGCAAACTTACTACTTGGAACTTGAGAAGGAGTAGACAAGTATATATCAAGCATATTTGAATGTTGAAAATTACAGCTCGAGAATGGAAGGGCTGGTTTCTTCCTGTCGCAGGTCCTAAGAACATGATTAAGCAACAATTAAACCACTCAAGTCAACCTAAAAAGGAGCTGGCTTAAGTTGTTAAAGAGTCTCTTTAATCATGTTAAGGACATAGGTTCAAATTCCTCCAATGCCTTCTAGAATGTGAACAATTCCAAAGAACCACACCTAGGTATCAGTTTGTTGCGTTTGTAAATACCCATAAGATTAGTTGGACAAAAAATTTAAATACTCATATATATATATGTATATATAAACCACTAAAGTCATAATCTTTACAGTCAAATTACATTAGAAAATCAATATATAGAAAATTTAAAAGGCAATGTTTGTGCTATAGGTAACAAAAGCGAGATCAATAGTGTTTTGTGTGTTCTGAAAATGACATGTACAACTTGAATTTGTAGACAAATTTTCAATTTTGGACAGCTTGAAAGATAGACTTAATTTTAATTAACTCTCTTATGTTTAACATTACAAACACACTAGTTCTTAATTAATGTTAAACAGCTCACTTAGTCAACATCATCCAAGGATCATGTTCTGAAAATTGTCACCCTCATGTTGGCATTTGGACAACATGCCAAAAAAGAACTGCCTCCTGTAGTGCAAGAAATTTACCAGACACAAATGGCATTACCACTTGCAGGAAAATGATCCATCTTTCATTGGATGGAACACACCAAATTTCATATGATTCAATGGCATAAGCCTAATATTTTGGATAAAAGGTGTTTGCTTGTTTTGCATCCCAATCAGAGTGCATAAATCTTTTTAGAAGATATATCACCAATAACGAGACGCCACGTAGGAATCTTTGTTCTAATATGCTAGGGTCTTGTCCAAGAAAGTGAACTGTAGAATATGGGTTGGTCAGATATAATTACTAGAGTTGCTTGTTTTGCAGTGTAGATTGCAATGACAGCAAAATAAGAGATGAGAGATACTTTTGAATATTGAGGGATGTGTCTTTATTTAATAATTTAAGTTATATAATAAGACGTAACATGAATTATACAACATTATTTTTTTTTGTAAGAGTATTTCTTTTGAAATCTGGTTAGATTGTAAAACATAAATTATTTGATAAAATAAAATAATCATATTATCAATGAACTCATTTTATATGATGATTTAAATAATATAATTTAAACTGTAAAATATATATATTGTTAATACTAACCCTTGGCCTATGATACAACTCAAGCTTAGTATTAAGATTATATGCTTCCTCCATTGCTTTTTAAAGTTTAACTTTTAATTGCTTAGTAGTGATATGAAGGACAACAATTGAAAACCAAAATTGAAATCCACTAATGTAACATAAGTTATATTATTAATTAAATTAATATATATATATCATGAGTCTAAAAAAAGTTTTAAAAAAAGTTTATTATTAAGTAATATAAAATTCATCCTTTAATATTTTAACTAAAGTAACTTATGCCATGTTGATCACAAATTTTCATCCCATATAATTGGTTCAATTTATCATTATTCATTAATCTCCTTGCATGTTCGTTGGATGCACGTTTTAGTATACCCAGCCCGTACAGGTCATCCGTGAAGACTGAAGACCGTGACATTTAAGAGGACAATCCTCGGGAGAAAAGCAAGTTGTTTAGTGATGTCTTTGTGAGAAAACCTCGGGACAATTGTCTTTTAATTAATTAATTAGCCAGACATATTCCACAGATTTTTAAGCAAGATGTTGCTTTTCTTTCTTTTTTTGGCCTTCAAAGGATGCGCTTTCTTGATCTCTTGAATTTCTTAAAGTACGAAAATGTGATGCTCCAGCTTCCACATAGGCATTTGACCACCAAACACACATAGGACCATACAAATATCTTATCAAATTTTGCTTTGTTTCTTTTTATTTGTTTTTCTCCACTTACATTTTTGTATAATATTCCTTCTTATTTATCTTATGGATATTTTTACATATTTTGAAATTAATCATTTTTTAAAAAAATATTAAAAGTGCATCTATACATCAATAGGTACATTTAAAAAAATTAATTTTTTTATGCGCTAACCTCATACCTTGAATTTTATGCCTAATTTATAAAACATGAATACACAACATTTAATATTCCTTCTTATTTCCTCATCTTTAATTAATTAATTAATTAATTAATGAAACAAACAGAAAAAGAATATTACTAAACATATGATCCAAGAATTGCCCTTTTTTTTAATTGACTTGTCTATCTACTCCTCCATGTGCTTTCTCCCACTCCATCCCCCATTTTTCATTATTCTTGAAGTGGTTCATTGCTTGAATTACAATGATTGATAGTAGTGATCAAACCCTAAAAAGTTCCCGAATGTCCGGATCTTTTATCTTGAAGAACCTAGCTTATAATTTGATATTTAATTAAAATAATTAAACCGAAACTCTCTAATTTTCTCTGCCCACAATCTATATGTTATCCGATCTGCCTTGGATTTTTGTTTCTTCCTCTGACTTTTTGCTTACATGAATGCAGTTTGATTAGTCCAGCACCATGCCAACCGGGCAAGCCACTCATGCGCAGCATGAAACAATGCAATAAACTCTCTGTGGCATATGTGGTTTCCACGTTGGAACTCTTCAAAACACATTTTATATAAATGTTGATAGTTTATAAGAATATGAGATGGCCTCGTAAATTGATGAAACACATGCTTGGAAAATGCCAACTTGTTATATCTTTTATATATATAGATAATAATTAGTACCTCTTTTAATTTAACATATTTATTAAAAAATTATTATTTTTAAATTTAAATTTAAAATAAAAAAATTACACTTAAAAAATTTAATAACAGCTAAAATCGATAAATATTAATAAATTTATTAAATAAAATAATATATCAATAATTATCCATATATATTAGTAAATTCTATGATGATTGATATAAAGATTATGATCTTTTGAGATACGTACGAGTGTCAGACAACAGCAACAAATCCCTCTCACCTGTGAATTGAAAGAAACCTAATCACGCAAAAAAGTGGCCTAAAGGTGCAAAAGAAATGCGACGCCCTACTGTATCCTTTGTAAGTAATAAGCTAGCCTTCAATAAAATACCGTAACCCATGTTTCAGTTTGATCCAATTCTTGTGTAGTTTAGAAAAAATAATTTGGTATATATATGTATATATCACCCTTTTCTGAGTTTTAGAAGTAAGTTTTCTTCACAAAATAACATTAATGTTATGTTTTTTTCTGCCCATCACATTAACTTTATTGTGAACTATATATATGACCCAATATATACCAACTAGGAGTTTTATCGTGATTGGATTGAGATCTAATGCACGTACCTGATAGTTCTCTGAACGTGTCATTCACATGTTGAAATATGTTTGGGGTAGTGGTTCAATTCGCATGCAATCCCCAATTCAACTTGTAATAAATCCATCTTAATACATTTGTCATTTTTGTTAAGATAAAGATTAACAGCAATTTTAATTAACCGACCAATCAAACAAAAAATAATAATAATTTTTACTCAGTTTATTCCTGTCATTCTCGGAGCAAAACTAACTTAATTGACAAAATATCTTCGAGGAACTCACTTAAGGACTTGAGAAGATACCTATGCCATGCAACTAATCAATGGTTTTACAAGCAACTTAGTTGAGCTAACACGTGTATCAAGATTTAAGCTAGCCATCAACAAAAGCAGAAAGTCGACCATATATATGTATATATAGTCTTGTTTACCAGACAAGAAATTTTTAAGAGGGAATGGGATTTTTAAATCAATAATCATTATAGGGTAACAAGAAATTGTGTTGATTATTGCTTTAACATCTATAATTTAGAAAATTCTACTCAAGTATTCCGTTGTCGTCCAGCGGTTAGGATGTCTGGCTTTCACCCAGGAGACCCGGGTTCGATTCCCGGCAACGGAACTTTTTTTTCCCTTCTTTCATTTTTTTTTTTTTTTATGTTTTTCTTTTTTCTTCTTATTTCATACTATATAGTTTGTTAATTTATTTAAATATTATAACAATGTTTGACTTTCACTGAATTTCAATGGGTTTGCCAAACATCTTTTTCATTAAATGAAAGGAAAATCCCTTCTTCTTCCTTATTATTATTATTATTTTAATTATTTTCTTCTTTTTTTTCTTCTTATTTCATACTATATAGTTTGTTAGTTTGTTTAAATAGGGTTTGTGTTTAGGGTACATGTTAAAGGTATAATAAATGTATTTTTTTTATAATTAATTTACGTAAAAAATAACAAAATTAACTTTTATTTTAGTGTTATTTTCACATTAACAATTTTAATCAATCAATTAATTAAATTCAAGTTAATTTTATTAATTTTTATATAAATTAATTATAAAAATGTGTATTTATAGGATAAAAAAATCCTTATTATGTTTGTATCCAACTGTTACAATGTTTGACTTTCACTGAGTTTAACGAATTTCCTAAACAGCTTTATCATTAAATAAAAGGAAAATGATTAGAGAATGTCTTAATCGTCTAACGGCCATCATTCCCTTATTTGGGACTTCTCATGTAAGGTTAAAGGTTGAAGGTCGAAGGTGTGATGTTCGAATTTCACCCAATATTTTTTTTTATTATTTTTTTATGAATAATTTTTGACATTATTTACAAGTATATATAAGGAGGGAGGAAATAAGTTTCATGGAATTCAAACACGCCGCCCATGGAAAAAGTAAACTGTCCTAATTCAGGGTCCAATGTCATTGGACTGGAATGGGCCATTCGAATTTCACCCAACATTTTAAAAAAAATAATAAAAGGAAAATGATTAAGAGGGTTTTTTTTTATAATTTTTTATAATTTTACATTTTATCTAATTATTGGTTTTTTTTCACTCTTTTGAAATTTATATTATATGTATTTATTTATTTAATAATATATAAATATTGTATAAAAAAATTATACAAAAAAATTATCTACATATCATTAAGCTTAAATAAACAAGAAGAAAAATTAAAAGAAGGTTTTTTCTTATATGTCAAGTTTGCAGTGCAATATATGTATTTTTTTATTACTATTTTTTATATATATTTGATGATAGATTTTACAACATGGGACGGTCATTTCCTTTCCAAAGCCCTCCCCACCCATCCCACAATTCAAGTTTAAGATCTTTAATATATAAAGATTCAAACTCTTAATCATTGAAATATTTTCTAAGGAACTTTATCATTAATTTTATACTAAAAATAAAAATTAACTTTTATTTACTCAATTATCTAAGTAAATTTATCTATGTGACATTATTGATATTAAATTTAAAGTTATCTTTGGTATATTTGAATACAAATTAATACAAAAAAAATTACTTTTAATGCTCCATTAATTGGTTTAGAAAAGCCATAACAAGAAATAAGAATACAAAGAATTAAAACATTATATTAAAAATGTTAATATATCTAATTATACTACTTAAGATGAGTGGGATATAATATGTCTCTCATTTAAAAACACATTCATTCTATTGTTAAGATGGGATATCTTAACATTTGTAATATTAGAAAAATATCCAAACACTTTAATTTTCATTTTTTAAAAAGAAGTTTTGAAGAGTGCCGTGTGATTCAATCAAGGCTGCATGAAATGTGTAGTTTAAGTACTAAAATGATAAAAGGGTTTATCTGTCATTTGTTTTAAGGGTATAGGTTAAAAGTATAATAAATATATTTTTTTATAATTAATTTATATTAAAAATTATAAAAATTATAAAAATTAACATATATTTTAATATTATTGACACGTGAATGATTTTAATTGATAAATTAATTAAATCAAAATCAATATTTATACTTTTAATAAAAATTAATTATAAAAAATGCATTTATTGCACCCTTATGGAAAACTCCATGATAAAATACCATCATCTCCTGTGGAATGTGTCAATGATAAGTAATTAATAGCCATAGTTATAGTATTTAAATATATCAATTTTTTAATTGATTTTAATCTATTAAGAATAATTATTATATATTATATATATCACCGTTCAATTAATAACTATTGTTATTCATTATTAAAATGAATTCACACCATAAAACACTAACAAAAAAGTGAACTCCATTGTGTAAATCCTATTATAGTGTGATCTCAACACATAAAAGGTACATATTTAAGATAATTAATGTTGAAAATCTAGAAGGGGTTACCCATAAGACAAGTGACCATCACGTATCATTGAAAAAGCCTCTAAAAATAGTTAACAACCTAAATAGTTTTATGTGAATTATTTTTTTAATAAAAAATTTTAATTAAAAATTTAAATAATTCAGTAATTATCTCTTTTTGTTGAAAGTAAGAGATCATGAATTTGAATTACATGATATGCAGGTGGAATGAGATAAATGATAAAAAATGATTGTCTCCAATTATATAACCAAGATAAAAAAATAAATAAATTTAAACCATAAACATATAAATATGATAAGTTAAAAGATGGGGGAGATGGGAGGTCCCTAACACTTTTTTTTTTTTTGGAGGAAAGGTCCCTAACACTTTAATCTGTTCCAGCCAAGTACTTTTGTCTGTAGCATTAACGACACCCTAATCAACTTGCCAAGCTTCCTTACTAATATTAGATTCCCTGGGGCTCAGAAAAAGTCAAAGGCCTCTCCAAAACCCTAATAACTAATAACGCACCTCTAAAACCCCTTCCTCCTCCCTGCGAATGGTTCGCCGCAATAACAATAACAGTAAAGAACAAAGCTCAATCAACTCCATGAGCTCGAGCCAGTTCCAGGGCACCAAGACTCGCTTCCAGGATCCCGACGAGGAAGATGCCCTGGATACCTCCAATCCTGAGGGCTCTATTGAAGTGGGTGATAGAGTAACAGAAGATGTCTCCATGGGCGAACCTGATGTGTCCTTCGTTGATTGTGCCGATGATGACGATAAGACCAGCGCTGATTACTACTTCGACTCTTACTCTCACTTTGGTACCTTTCTTCTCCTGCTCTTTTCTTTCTGTTTCAGCTGTTTTGGTTGGTCTATTTGGTTTGATTTGGGTTTTTAGTTTGTTGGAGAACTTTGGGAAAGATAACGTGGAGTATGAAGAAAATTTTTAACTTTGTATGATTTTACCAAAAAAGTTTAGAGCTTGGCCTTAAGCAAAGAGGCTGAGGAATTGATTTTCTTCATAATAACTATGAAAGACCAGCATTTTCTGTATTGCTTTTGGTTATTTGGTAGAATAAGATATTGGGTTTATGTTCTCCATTGTCCCTTCTTTTTATGTTGTGCAAATACTTCTCCTGGAAGCTTGTTTTGATTTACCCTTTTCTGTGTTTCTTGGTTTGCAGGCATTCATGAAGTAAGTGTTCTGCCTTCCAAATGTTGATTTCAGAGTATTTGTTTAATCATTCTGTCTTATGAGATTCAAATTAGGACTCCTACAAATTGGACATTCAAAAATGTGCTTTTGATATTGCATCATTGCTTTATGTTTTCATTTTTAGCAAATTGATTGCCTCTATAATGGAAGCTGTCTACTGTATGTTTTCCTACTGTCCCCGGATTTCAGGAAATGCTGAAGGATGTGGTGAGAACCAAGACGTATCAAAATGTTATTTATAAGAATAAGTTTCTATTCCAGAACAAAGTAGTTCTGGATGTGGGAGCAGGGACTGGAATCTTGTCATTATTTTGTGCAAAGGCAGGGGCATCACATGTTTATGCAGTATGTCTTTCACTCTTCCTTATCTTTGCCTTATCAGTTTTAAATATTCGTAAGAATTATCTGAGGAATATATTTCTTAACATATGGTATCTGTGTTTTGTTTATAGAAGTTTACTTAATGCCATTGACATATTTTTCATTCCTAGGTTGAGTGCTCTCATATGGCTGACATGGCTAAGCAAATTGTGGAAACAAATGGATTTTCTGATGGTAAGGTTTTGGTGCACATCCTACACCTTTTTTATGTCTTGCTTTATGGCTTCAAATGCTCAATCTTGCTGTTCACTCTATGCTTACCCGGAAATTCATCCTTTATTACAGTTATAACTGTTTTGAAAGGAAAGATTGAAGAAATTGAGCTTCCCGTTGAAAAAGTAGATATTATCATTTCGGAATGGATGGGTTATTTTCTGTTGTTCGAGAATATGTTGCATACAGTCCTGCATGCTCGTGATAAATGGCTTGTAAGTTATTGTTATTACTAAAATGTACCGTTCTGAATTGTGGAAATATTTCTTTATACATTTGTTATATCAAATGAAGTTACTCAATGTTCCATGTATGATATCTTAAGTTATCTTTATTAATACTTTAACACAACGTTTGCTGTATATAATATTCATATTGTTCTGTTGTATATGTTATGCATTGCTTGGATTGAGTTGTTGCAAACTAACCATTAAGGCAGGAGTAGTTTATTTAAAGACCTGCTTTGTGGTGATGCTGTTTCTAATGTTCTAGTCTTGTATGCACTAATGCTTGTGTAATCAGTTACCTTAAATTTCATTTAGTGATAGAAATAGCACATTGCCTAATCTTGTTTGTTGTCTATTGGGTCTTTTTTGTGAGAGTTGAACAAACAAGTAGCCACCATGTATCTGGCTGATGCCTTTAAGTTGGAGCTACACCTTTGATTCTGTTATGTACATGGTCAATTGTAAATAGGCTCAGATCCAGTTTTAATAGTTGATTTATTTAGTATTACTCTATTAGTTGTTTCCATGTTCTATCTTCTCTATGTAATTAGTTTTTGGTGCTGTAATTCATCTAAGTTATGCCTTAAAGTTGTTTAACTTCCTGTTCTTTTTCTGGTGAAGCAAAATTTTGTTGACTTTTCTATAAATTTTTAGCCCCCATTGTTCATTTCCTGTACCCTTGCTTCTGTTCAGGTGAATGATGGAATTGTGCTACCAGATAAAGCTTCTCTCTATCTGACAGCTATTGAAGATGCAGAGTACAAAGATGACAAGATAGAATGTGAGCATATTAAACTCTTTGCTTATGCAAAAATTGGATTGATATAATCTTTCTTTGAAATCATGGTCATGTGAGTTTTTCCAGCCTCCACTTGCATCAGGTTTTGTGGATTTGATTTTTTTAATTATTCCGTCTCTGTTGTCTCCAACAATATGTGGTATTGTTGTTTATTGTATATTGTTCTTTTATTTACCTATCTTTTCTTCTTGGCATTATCTTGCTACTCAGTTTGGAATAATGTTTACGGCTTCGACATGAGTTGCATAAAAAAGCAAGCCATAATGGAACCTCTTGTTGACACAGTTGACCAGAATCAAATTGTCACAAACTCCCAGCTACTTAAGGTTGAGAAATACAGATCACTCGCATTTTTCTGTTTGCATGTGTCTATAACTTCATGTACAAACATACATTCATATATGATGTACTTTTTTATTTTTCGGTGTTGTTTTGATTTCTCTTTTCTCCATTGGCCAGACAATGGATATCTCTAAGATGGCTCCTGGTGACGCTTCCTTCACGGCTCCTTTTAAGCTTGTGGCAAGTCGTGATGATTATATCCATGCTCTTGTTGCATATTTTGATGTATCATTCACCAAGTGTCACAAATTGATGGGCTTTTCTACAGGTTAGTTGCTCTCTTGCTTTCCCTCTTTTGTTTTATATTTTATTTTGTTTTGATTAGAAGCTTTATGAAGCTTCTTGCAAAAAAGGTTGAAAAAAGGAAAAAGTTTATTTCTTGACTACAATGGAAATCAAATGCAGGTCCCAAATCACGGGCCACGCATTGGAAGCAAACAGTTCTCTACCTAGAAGATGTGCTAACCATTTGCGAAGGAGAGGCAATAACAGGTAGCATGACTGTGGCACAAAATAAGAAGAATCCCCGGGATGTTGATATAATGATCAAATATTCATTGAATGGTCGGCGTTGCATCATTTCCAACGTTCAATACTATAAGATGCGCTGATTTTTCTCACAACATTCATAACAGCTTCCCATATTTTTTTGGGAAAGCAGATTGTTATGCTACCAAAAGTTATGCTGCACCAGTTTTTAATCGCCTGAGATGAGGCAGATTTGGTTTTTTCTTGTAAACTGTAACGTGCATTGTTTTAAATTTACTCCTGCTCAAGCTGATTAAAATGTAATGCTATATTTTTTATATTGGATATGATTTTTTTGGTGCCTTCAAGTCTTCGACCTTCCATATCCATCTCTAACTCTTTCTCGATTTTGATCTATACTTGTGTGTGAACTGATTGAGGTGGAAGCAAACAGAACATGAATAAAAGGATTTACTTTCGGGATTGATTTGTGCCCTTACAGAATGGGAAAAATGGGTAACAGAATGACCTTTCAGAAAAGCTGAAAAGACGAGTGATTTTTGGAACCCTACCATCATATACAGTAATAATAACAATATTCAGCAACACAACAGCTCCTCGAGTGTCTTGTCTGGATGAAAGGAAGGGAAACCTGTTTCATCTGCAAACAAAACGTGTTGGAGGCATCGGAGTTTTAGAAAATTCCGTAGGTTTGCATTGGAGTTTTAGAAAATTCCGTAGGTTTCTACTCAACCGAACTCTTCTTATGGTAAATGCGACAGCGGGTAAATGTCCTAAAGTTCTGCGTTGCTGTCCTTAGCATTCTTTGAACGTGCAGTTTTAAATACTTTCCACCACTTCTGTACCCGGTAGGAAACCCATTTTGCATGTTTCTTTAACGCCTCCTCAGTATGTGTGATTCCTTTGGTGATCCTCGGTTTCCATTTGCCTTTTGCACTTGCCTTCTCTCTCAAAATTTTTCCCTGAAGAAATGAATTTTAGCAGGGAGTAAAAAAAGGAAAAAAGAAGAGATAAATTTTCCAAACTTTATTTGATATGAATTTAATATACCAATTTTGAGGGGAATGGTGAGTCATCATCTTCATCTTCATCTGCATCTGCATCTTCAACAAAATTTTTCATGTTCATTAACTCTTCCCTTGAGTACATTTTCATGCTGGGAGCTCCTGGCATACCCTGAAGCAAAAACTAAATAGAATAAACACCAAAAAAGCATCATTTATTAAGCAATGAATGTTGATTACTTCCATGGACCTTAAAATCTTTTCCATTTCAGCCTCATTGGTTGGTTTGGGCTCAAATGGTTCGCCTGGGATCCTATCCTGTTCCACCAAGGACAGACTACTATTGGAAATGAGTATAATAAGCTTGAAGAATGTTTTCCTTATAACAGTTTGTGAAGGAAAATCTCAGCATGTAAAGCCCATACAGATAATTTTAGAGATTTCAGCAAGGCATACAGATAATCCGAATTTTGAGAACATAAGCTCCGTTAAAAGTTCCATTCTAATGTGCTTTGACATGCTGAATGGTATTAGCAGCAAAAAGCATTTTAGACTGTGTTAACAAAGCATAATCATGGATGCCTTTAACAAAAGATAAGCTGTTACCTTTGGGACTGGGGGAGGATTGGTACTGCATGCCTCAGTCAGGTCTTTACGTAGATAATTTATTAGTGACTCAATATCAGGAATGGATTTATATATATACTCGGCAACGTTAGTATCAGAAGACCCGATAATCTGCAAAAGAACCCATCCATCCAATTAGTAATTAACAGTGTCCAAAATCAAGCCACCCCAAATAAGAAAGGCACAGATATTCATTATTTGGGGTCCAAACCGAAGCCAACTAACATGATCCCAATCCACAGAAAGAGAAAGATCAGGCTTCATTAATCCAAAATGAAGTTTACTCATCAAAGTCAAATTCTGATAGACAAAGGAAAATTAAATACCACACAAGTACAGAAAATTCTAACCTCTTGACAAGCTCCCTCAATTGTTTTGCACTCTGAATTGCATTGTCCTTTAACATCTTGTTCAACCAGCTGCAAAAAGATGAACACTTTTATTAGCCCCCCATGTTTAATTCCATTGAACAAACACTAAAATGCATTATTCTTTCATCACAGCTCAGATACAACATCCTCAAAAAGCCATAAACTTTTCCATCAGAAACACATTTTACAAATTGGTTCAGTGGAGATGCACATAAGGAAATGAAAAGAACACTTCAAAGTTGCCACAGCAAACAAGATTATTGATCTCACATCCAATTTATCCCCTTGCTCAACCATATCACTCCGCTTCCTCCTTCAAATTACACACATTCTCAGCAATCTCAATGATTTGAAACTCTGAGATCTGAAAGACACCAAAAAAAAAAAAAGAAAAAAAAGAAACAAAACAGATAAACACAACCCATCAAATGAAAATCAATATAACAAACAGAAAATCCCCAAAGGGGCAAGCGATTCCAAAACCTCCTTGGGAGCGATCTGGGTCTGCTTCTTCTGTACTTGTTGGTGCAAATTAATGTGATACGAGCTTCTCGCAAACCTGGCATTTAATGTATGGTACGTCTTCTTTCCTTGCCACTGTCACTGGTTTCCCGAGACAGTGCACGATTTGTACCCGTAAACACAATAGCAATGCTGAAACTACAGCCATTAGTATTCGAATCATCCTTTCCAAATTCTGTGGAATTCGAAAAACAGAAAATTGTCAGATCTTTTAAAAGAAATTTTGGCTTCAACTCCCAAGTTTTCCGATGCCATCATGGTGTGCTTATTCAGTTATTTTGGTTGTTCGGAAGTTCTGTTCCATGGGGTCCATGCATATTTTTCAGCCAATAAGAATTTTTTTTTTTTTTCGTATTTAAGGATAGAGTGTTCTAATCGAGTTTTTGTGAATTAATTCCTTTGTATGTAATCTTAATATGATATTTTATTTTTAAAAATTAATTTTTTATGCTATTTTAAGAAAATTTATTTACTAATGGATTAAATTGGTGGAAATTTTCAGACAATAAGATGAGAGAGAATATGTAATTTTGACTTTTTCAACTGTCACGATCAAGAAAGACCTGCTGACTCAATTTTTGATAGTTAATCAGGACCGTCAAAACTGCCACGTAGGTAACCTTTTATGCTTACGTGGCAGAACATCCGATAATTTTATTTTACGAACCCGAGGGAAACATACTGGACTAAACCCTTAAAACCCTAAGAAGGGCTCATAGCTAAAATTAGGGTTTTTCACTTTCTGCAAATCGTCTCCCCTGATACCTTCACTCCTTCAGTCGTAATTGATCCTAAATTTCCACCCATTTCTGAAGGAAGAAGAAGGAAAATCATGACTTTGTCTGCAGTAGAGTCGACGAACCCACAGGTATCCAATTGCCTGATCGGGGAAAACTACCAAGTAAGACTAAACCAATCTCTGCAAAACCTTTTAGCTGAAATTCGCAAGGAAACCCCAAATTTATCGCATTTTGTTGATGTATTTTATGAGTTAATGCAAGCAAAGATCGACCCACCTCTGGAATCCATCTGGGTGTACTCTGCTTTGTTGTTTCGTAGCCGTAATTCTAGCAATGAAGATCCTTTAAATCGGTTATCAGCTATAAGAGATCTGTTTCAGTTGGTATCAGCGTGTTCGAGTTCGTCTAGTTCTTCAAAAAGCATCGCGTTGCTTGCTCCAGTTATTTTCGAGGTATACAAGTTAGTTGTGGAGTTATCATTAGGAAAAGATTCAGGTTCGAAGAGAGAAAAGAAAGTAATTAGAGAGGCAAAATCTTTGATTGAAGTGATTCTTGGGTATGTTAGCATTTGTTGTTGTAAGGATTTGGGTGAGGAGAGTAGTACTATTGATATGAAATTCATAATGCCTGTTCGAGATTTGGTATCCGTTTGGATGGATGGGAATGAAAGTTTACAGTATTTTTTGCCACTTCTGAGTGATGAGATATGTATGGAGATTGCCCAAAGAGGGTTTGATGTGGACTACCTGGCTGGCATGGTTATAGTGGAAGCATTTATTTTGAAACTGTGCATTGGTTTGAGGTTTCGGGCTGCAGGTACGGAGATGGAGAGAGAGTTGAGAAGTTGGGCTGTTGGTGCAATAACTGGCTTCCGAAGCTTTTACTTCTTTGGTTAGTTTCATATGCTATTTGTTTAAATTCTCTTTATTATTATTATTTTTTTCTCAGATAATTTGCAAGTTCATTTCGAACTACGGTTTATTTATGTCTAGAGTGTCTACCTTGGCAAACTTATACTGGCTGTGGAACAAACATGCTAAATTTGTTGCAAAATAAGTCTTAGATAATATATATTGCTTTCACCAATATCATAAATCTCATGTCAAGTCCTGGGTAGAATTTATTTCTTTTCACTTGCTTTTTCATAAGTTTCTAACCAACCATGTAACAGACAAGTGAAATTCACCCACAATTTTTAACTTGTTGAGTAGTCCCTCATATCTTTGGTTAATTGGCCTAATCAATTAACGTGCATGTACATGATTTTTGTTACAGTGTTAATTTAGTGGGAATACTGATTTCTTTATAATTTCTCTTCCATGATGGTTCAATTTCCTCTCATATCATACTCGTGCTTACCATCTTATCTATCTTTTGTGCCGACCAGAGATCCTTGTGAAGATGCTGCTGCAGCCTGTTCTGCCTATAACTTCCATTTTGGTTAGTGTGCCTTTCTTAGATGCTTTATTCAGAAATGGTGTTTTTTGAATTCTTTTTTGTTCTTATATGTTGTTTGCTTGTCAGTGTCAAAAAAGATATCATTTATTCTTTTTCTGCTCTTATCGCACGTTTGAATGTCAGTGTCCACTCAAAATGCGTGCTTAAACTGGTTATCTCAAACTAAGGAGCATGCTTTGGAACTTTCTGTAGAATTCTGAAGATGGAGTTTTGTTGAGGAATATTTTGTATGATGGTGTTATTTTGGTGGAGTATTCTTTCCTCGATTCTCAGAGAGCAGTTCACCTACCAGCTGAACGTGTGAAGGGTCTTACCATGGCAAGATTGATTGTTACACAAAAAGCAATCAAGTGTTTTAGGTATGAATGGTTGGATGCTACAGTATTGATTCTAGTGGCACTGTGGAAGCCTGTGTTGCAGATTCTAAATTTCTAATTATTTGGATTGCTGCAGGGAGAATGGCGATCAAAAGAAAGCTATTTGTTATTCAAGTGCCTTTTCCAATTCCCGTTTACCTTCTCAGCTAACTAAATGGATTACAGCCCAAATCGGCATGCACGAAAAGGCAGATATGTTAAGAGGATCTTCGCCTATAGCACTTATAAGTGAGTAGCTCTACTACTTATGTCTGTTGGAATCTATATTTGTGACATTTAATTCACAGTCATGACTAACATCTTTCTTCACTGTCTGATTGATATAATTCTTCAGAGTGGCTACTGGACCTTGATAGGAAAGGGATAAAAGTATTTGATGATGGCAATTTGAAATACCATGCCAAATCAGTTCTTGATGATTCCAAAGCAGACAGTGAACAGCCAGGATCTAAGCCAGATATGAAAGTTGATGATGATCTTCTCTTTTATATCGATAACAAGAGGGACAAAGTAGAAAGAGAAGAGGAAGAGGAAGAGGAAGAGAAAGAGAAAGATGAAGATGAAGATGAAGATGAAGATGAAGATGAGGATGAAATGAAAAATGAATCCATAAGTGCTTCATTTGTGGCTGCTGCCCACTCAATGAAGTCCACGGAAAACGGTGGGAGAAAAAGGAAAGTAGGTCAAGGTACAGAAAGGAAGGAGAAGAAAAAGAATTTAAAGTCTGACATGGGCTCAGCTGGAGACAAAATCTCATCTGATGATAGTGACAGTGAAGTTGAGAATCCTCCATCTGATTCTGAATAAGATGCGGGAAAAAAGGGGCAACCGGTTCTTTTTTTTTAGCCAAGGAGCAAAGGGGTTCTTTGCTAGTAAAGGATAGATGGTAACAATTTCTGTTCTTACCAACTCTACTTATTATAAGGCTGACTCTCGCTGCTCTTGTGAGAGGTCCTTGGAAGAATGTTAACCATTTGCTTTAGATGCAACTGGAAATTTTGAGCTTGAATATGTTTAGCAAGCCCCGTAATGACAGTGTACTTATTAGAATTTTTCATTGGGTCTGGTCCTGTTATGATGAAATCCTGCCCCATGGAAAAACCCTTTTGAATGCGTAAGTAGCTGTCTCTGTCAATCAGTGTTTTGTGTGTGTGTGTGTGTGTGTTTTTCTTTTCTCTTTGATTGGAAGTGAAGCAGTGTACTTTGGAATGCATCCCTGGCTGATCAACACTGATAATAAGTTTGGATTGAGAGGAATGGAGGAGAGGAGAGAAAAAAAAAAAAAATCTTTATCTGATTATAAAAAAAAATTAAAAGGGAGAGGAGGGGGAAATTTCCTTCTATTTTATTTTTTATTTTTAATTTAATTACTTATTTAAATGAGAGAAAAGATGGAGAGAGAAATGAAGGGAAAAAATTTCCCTTCTCTCCTTTTCATTCCCTTCAACTCATATATAAGATAAGAGTCGAAAGGCATATTTATGGTTTGAAAAAACTGAAGATTTTGTCTTACCTGTTGAGCAGCCAAGTGATCGCACTCCGGGCAACAACATCAGGATCTTTAATTTTTGACCTCATTTGTAAGCACACACTTTGAGTACGTATCAACAACAGCACAACTAGCAGCTTCATAAAGCTCACAACCAATTTTTATTGCAATGGAATGCACCAACTGGCCTTCGTTCACATATCCTGCGTTCGCACAGCCCTTGAAGACAGTGGATAAGAAAAACTTGCTTAAATTCATTCGGCATTCTGTCGTCCTGTGAAATGGTTTCAGAACCTCTTCCTCATGACCCATCTCAGAATAACTGTTAAGCAATGCATTCCACAACACAACATTCTTCTCAGAAATGGAGAGTGAGAACGCTCTGTCAGCAAGTTTAATCTTGCCCCATTTTGCATAGACATCCACAAGAGCAGACCCAACAAACAAATCCAAGAAGAACCGTTAATTTCAAATTGTGATGCCAAGTGTTTGTTTGGATTAGGAGAGTTTGAGGGAGGGAAGAAGAGTAAAGGGGAGATGCTTCATTCTTTTGTTTTAATTATGTATTTTAATGGAAGGGAAAGGAGAAGGAATCCCCTCACTTCTTCGTTTTTCATTCCTTTAATTTGGAAGGATTAAAATAGGTTGCTCTATAAATTTACTTTCTTTTTTAAAATTTTCTAAAAAATAAATATATATACATATTTTATTTCAATTATTAATTTCATTAGTAAAATTAAAATATTATATTATATTACATATTTCAAAAGAAAAAGAAAAATTAGGACGTCCTGACATTAAAAATGTCAAGACTTTCAATCATAACTATTAAATGTGTGGAGTATGGTATGAACTTTATTTTTATCGAATTCATTACACAACTATTATTAGGTATCTAACATCTTGATTTTTCA